TCACTACATTGAGTGAACTTTAACAACCTGGAAAGTATACCAAACGATTTGTGCCACTGTGGGACGTTTACGGATATTTTATTCAACACTCTCCTTTAATACGAACCGTATATGGGGACGTGTAAAAGAACACATTAGAGGTAATTGACGGTAAAAATTGATGTATGAAAGAATATTGCAAATTCAATAGACGCTCCCCCTGCGCTCAATATTGGCGGCGTACTCAAAGTTACAGGTGAAGGTTCAATGAACCGAAAATGATTTATGTCATATTACGTTTAAAAAGCTAACTTTAAGAGTAAAAATAATTACTTGCAATATTTTTTTTTTTTGGTATTTTGTGTAAATAATTATTTCATATTTATGTGAATATTACACGTTGAATAAAACTACTTTTACGAATTTGATCAGATTAAGGCTTAAAGAAAAATACTTTTTTTTTCCTTGGTAATGGACACATACGGTTGTAATTTTGCCAGTGTCAAGTAAGTACATTAAGAAATTATGCTTTATATTAATTTATTTTAAAACTTCTTCACAATACGTTGTTACGTCACATTGTGAAGTTTTCCTCAAAGTTTAAATAGCTATTTCTAATTTTTTTTGTGTTTGTTTGTGTAACATAATATATGACTGTAAATTGTTTTTTTTTAATGTTCCGATGGGTTTCTTGTTGGTCCGTTCCAGGACAGAGGATTTTTTTCCAAACCAGTGGTAAATTAAACAAAAGAGTGACGTCCAATAAGTATTATTTATAAACTATATCGAATAAAAAAGTTTGTTTCTGTTTCATCAGACAGTAAAAGTAAGTTACCGCCAAAATCTCTTAATTTAACCTAATTTAAAACTCCCTATGTTTAGAGTACTTTGTAGCATCCTTGGTCGCGGGGGAATTGGGGGGGGGGGGGGAGGTTTGACTTCCTGATTCATATAGTTAACCTGAAGTACATTCAGCTTTTAATTGCTAATTTTATCCTTTGTACACCTCTGGTGACAATAGGGTTGGTTTTTGCACGCTCAAAGGGAAAGTATAGCATTATTCAGCGAGGAAACTCAGCCAGTGTTATTTTACAAATAAATGTATACAAAAATATGTAGACAATTATCTATACAAATAAATAAAAATGAAGTGTCTGTAATGTCAAAATAACAGCTTTTTAATACATGCATATGAAAGCATATACGGTACTTATAACAAAAACACAGTTTTTAAAATTTTTGTCTGTCTGTTCGTTCCGGCTAATCTCCAAAATGGCTGGACCGATTTTGACGGGACTTTCACTGGCAGATAGCTGATAATATAAAGAGTAATTTAGGATACTTTTATTTTAGAAAAAGAATTAGGGTTCCGGGAACAAAATTTAAAATCTTAAATTACACGTGGACGAATTCGCGGGGAACGGCTAGTAAATTAATAGATTACATAAACATCTTCGAAGATATAATAGATTATAGAGAGATTATATAGATATATATATTTGAAAGTGGTAGAGCCATGATGCAGCTATATTATAGTTGTAGCACGAATGGGTCGGCCCGACCGGGGAAGGACCACGCTCTTACAGAATACCAACGAAAAATAGCAGCTTGATAATGCTGTGTTTAGTATGGTAAGTGTAGAGAACCGGAGACCCTTTTTACTGCATTCCGTCTTAGTCCTCTGGGGTAACAACGCATCTGTATTTTTATTCTTAATAGAGGATAGATGTAGATGTCTATGGGACACAGTATCCACTTACCATCTGGGGGGCTGTGTGCTCGTTCATCACTTGAAAATGCCAAAGGTACGACACATCTGGTGATGTGTTCACCGAACCACCAACAAAGCGTGGCAGATCACCCATTGCAAGACAAAATTCTAAAGTAAAATCCTAAAATTAGTTTCTTTGGCTAAAGTCTTTTCTTATCGCTTTTGTAGTCCCACTTTCTGTATTTAATTATCTAGAAGCAAACCACGATCGCATGATAAGGTACGTTAGAAGAGAGCAAGATACGGGTAGCAGAGTTTTTTTTTAAATTAGATTAGGGTGACAAACGAGCACACAGTCCAGCTGATAGTAAGTGGTTGCCGTGACCCATAGACATCCACATCTATCCTCAATAAAGAATCAAAATGCAGATGCGTTGTCATCCGTGAGGACTAAGATGGAATGCCTCTTTTCCAGTAAAAAGGGTCTCCGGTTCTCTACACTCACCATATGAAATACAGGATTGTTAACCTGCTATTTTACCCTGGTAATCTATAAGAGCGTGGTCCTTCCCCGGCCAATAATAGCTGCATCATGGCTCTACCACGTAAAAATACGCTCACGAGGACATATTTGGGAACTTATCATCAGGTGGACTGTGTGTTCATTTGTTACCCTTATTCTATAAAAAAATATTCTGTGCTTTACGACGAGAAAAGAACCAACCCTCTTGTCAGCAGCAGCAATAAAACCAGGTACTACTCCGTGCGTGGACCCCACGGACTGATGTTTCTCTGGCGTTACGTCTCAGCAATATTATCAAATTCCTTCTTCTACTATCCTACATTATCATTGCCTAATATTCTACGAATCAGTTTACTAAAAACTTGACAGAACAATAAGTTTAAGTGCACGGTAGGCCATTTTTGTTTATATATTATCGTATTACCATAATCAACGCGTATAACAAAAATATTCCAAAACGATCTTTTAGAAGAGGGAACACACATTGAGAACGATAACTTGTTACTACTTATAACGATCTATACAAATAAATAAAATTGAATTATGTTTTGTAATGTCAAAAAAAAAACAGCTTTTAAGTAAATGCATATGAAAATACCTATATAGGATACTTTTAACAAAAAAAAAACATTTTTCAAATTTTGCTCTGTCTGTTTGTTGAAATGGCTGTACCGATTTTGACGCGACTTTCACTGGCCGATAGCTGATGTTATAAGGAGTAACTTAGGCTACCTATATTTCAAAATCCTTGAAATCCAACTGTAATGAATTCCAAGCGCACGAAATCGCGGTGAACAGCTAGTAACCTACATAAATCAATCAACCGTGTAGTGGCGGTGTAAGTTATAACCACTACCCCATATCGCCCGTGGGTATCGCAAGAGGCAACAGAGGGAACCAATCCGAACGATAGGCAGCGAGCAGCGTATTTCTAGTCCAAAGAATAGAAAATAAAAGACTGCGATTGCCAGCCCGCCTGTCGTATGTGCAACTATGGCAAGTAAGCCCCTAGTGAGGCAATATATGCGGAAGGCCTATGTTCAGAAGTAGACTGTGATAGGAACGAACTTATAAGAACACCTTTTGGTCTCGCGTTAGGTTGCAAGTTTGAATCCCGCACAAATCAAGTGTTTGTAAATAATAAATCTTGTGCATTTTGTGTATGTAAATTTTCTCTACGTTACATGATCAAATTTATACGGGACCACATGAGAAGTACCACATTGCTAATAAAAAAAGAATCATCAAAATCGGTTCACCTAGAAAAAAGTTCTGATGTAACTCACATTAAAAAAATACAGTCAGTCGAATTGAGTATCTCCACCTTTTTTTAAGTTGGTTAAACTTGTTAAGTATAATAATTGCATAAATAGTCAACAAATGTAAATTTAAATTAATTTCTCGCCCTACTACTAACTCGTTATATTAAATTGACTAAAGTTACTATTTTAATTTATATAGAGACACATTTCTATAGAGATACAATACGTATATACATTCCATAGTTTTGATCGATGGTAATTAGAATAATAGAATTGTTAAATAATGTCTTTTTACCGTAATTGTAACGAAAACTGTGAAGTGGCTGTGTAAGAATATGCACTATCCCATATCTTCCCGTGGGTGTCGTAAGAGGCGACAGAGGGAAACTAAAACAGAAGATGCATCATCCACATAACAACTAAAAATAATAAAAACTGCGGCTGCCAACCCGCCTGCCAAGCGTGGTAACTATGGCAAAATCCTTCCTATGTGGCGATCACACACTTTTATATAATGTAACGGATGTAACGAAAGCCTAGTACTTTGCGCGGCTATTAATATAGTTTGTAAATAAATTCACGAGCAAAGCTATAGCAGACTGACTGTAGGCTGTATTAATATGATGGAATGGATTAAAACGCAGTGGCTAGTGATCTAAGGGTAACGTTGTAATAACTAGAGGTTTTTCTATTTCGCTACGGATTTGCTACTGCTTGAAGGGGTTTACGCATGTGCCGGCCGACTGTATTCTTCGTGTTGAATTCCTAACCTATTGTTATTCTTTACAACTAACTTAACTAACTCAACTGTATAAGAAATTAATAATTATGTAAATATGTATAAACTCGGACATGTAAATATATATATGTTTCTAATTAAAATATAAAACTCCTTACAAATTTCTGCGGAAAATATTGGTCTCATTTTAAATATTAATATAAATAGTAATATCTTAGTTCGCTGTTATTGATTATTGTAAACAATTTGTTAATAAAATGACTAACAAAAATGATGAGCTTATGTCGTAAAAATGCTAAAAGTAGTCAATTGGTGGTAAGCATGGGCTAAATTTTTAAATCTCACAACTAAATCGATACTGGACGAAAGTATTCGCGTAAGTACACCGTGTAACATGGCACAGATTTTGAATAATGCAGTGTGCAAATGCAACGGGCCACGGTAGAAAGAACGAGACGCGTGTATATAACACAAGGTGCGCGGGAGCGAGACGCCGGCTGCGGCACTAAGTGGGCCAGGATATGAAACCCCTAACACAATGTCGATCACTTGTTCACCAGAATACACTGAACTAAAGCTAGATGATAGATATGGCGAGTGAAAGGTCCTGATGTGTGGTTGCAGGCATGTACAGCAGCGACGAGGGCGCAGGCCGAGTGCCGATAATAACCATAACTCCGGGCGTGTCAGTGAGCGGGCTAGCTGAAGGGCGGCTGCGGCGCCGATCGCGTCGCGGTTACCTCTCTGGCCATCGCGGCATGACCGCCGGAGGCCGTGGGCGCGCGCTCACGCCGCCATCTTCGTGGGGCACAGCCCGGGACTCGCGGAGCGACTCGCGGAGCACTTGAGCGCTACGCCGCGTGGGCGGCGATCGATGCACTCCACGCGCCTGCGCCCCCGAGCCTCCCCGAACCGCTCCGAAGGCCCCCAAAGACGGCCGAAAACAACCGACCGCTCCGGTGCATCCGCCCTGACCCACTTCCCGCGCACATTGACCTCTTTCCCACCATTTCCAATGGACCGATTCGCGATGCGACGTACACGCTTCCACCCTATTCACAATACAACACGATTATTCATACCAATATCAACTAAAGTCCATTTACTTAGAGGTGAAATTTGTCATGTACTTCTGCGAAATAAAAATAACAACGTCGCCTACGGCTGCTAAGTGTACTAAGTCTACTAAATTGCACCTTAGACAGCGCGAGGCTGAGTACTTATATGCTGTAAAGGCAAACAATGCATAACGAACTGTGAAACGAAAACAAACTAAATTAGCAGTTCAGTTTGCTTGAAATTTTCGTACTGATTCGCAAAATTAATGTAATAATGTTTATTTACTAGACGAAGCATGTTTTATAGAACGTTAACAAACAATAATAATATACAAAATTGGTTTACTGCATAAAAGTAGAATACATAATACATATATATTAAAATTGTAGTAGAAACCTAACTGAAGTTTCTTTTTTTAGAGTATTTTTATTCTACATTAGACTTGCAACGAATAGTATATTCGGTTCGGCCTCAAGCTGAATATCAAATATCCTGCGGGCTTCCCGACCGAATAGCTAAAATATTAGACAAATGTATTCAGCCGGAAAGGAAGTTGTGTTTATTACATATATTATTATTATTGTTATTTATGTAGTGGGATTGTCAACGAAAAGAGATTAGAAAAGCACAATTCTACTGCCTGAAAATGCAGACAAATTAGTCTTTCAGCACCATATATACATATATCTTCCACTTCTAAATTTTAATTACGTTAATTCAAGTGAATATACATTTACTTGATAGTGTTTTTGTTCATTTTTATAATACGGAAGTTGATTTTGTACCTATCACTACGTTAAGGGTTACAAGAAAATACATTATTATAAAATAAATCAATATTTTTATTTTACCAATTATCTGACTACAACAAAACAATCTTACTTAATTATTTGGTATTCGCCCGAATAGTACCTAGATATTCGTTATTCGACCGAATAGAATAAAAGTAGCCGAATAGGCCGAATACCGAACAATATTCGTTGCAAGTTTATTCTACATAGATTTTTTAATAAACCGAAATAAGGTGAGCAAACCGATTCAAACACGGCTGCCATTTTGTAATTGTTAATCGCAATTTTTCTAGATGGTGGGACTCCTTTTCTACCCAGAAGTCCTTCTCTGTACCACCCTCTTAAATATTTAGGCTCAAATAGCAGTGCCTGCACTGCTGTGTTCCGATGTCAAGGGTAAAAAGAGCCAGTGTAATAACAGGCTGTTAGGCATTCCATCTTAGTCCTCAGAGGAGACAACGCATCTGTAGTCTTCTTTGTTTGAAGTTCGCCGCAGGTGTCCATGGACTGCTGCAGCCATAACCATCCAGTGGATTGTAAGTTCGTTTGTCACTTCCTACCTTTCCCATAGATTGCCTCATCAGGAGGATATTTGCCATAACTGCCACGCTTTTTTTTATTCAGCTATTTTTTTTATAGGATAAGGGTGACAAACGAGCACACAGTCCACCTGATGGTAAGTGGTTGCTGCGGCCCATAGACATCTACATCTATCCTCTATTACAAATCAAAATGTAGATGCGTTGTCACCCGTGAGGACTGAGGACTAAGATGGAATGCCTCAACAGTTAAAAGGGTATCCGGTTCTCTACACTCACCTTACGAGTCACAGCAACATTAATAGTTTCCCTGTCCGCGAAATAGACACAATAGAAAATGTTCATATATGATTCATAGGATTGATAATTGTATGAAATCTGTCAATTACTTTGTTTACAATATTTAGTTTATTTTAATTTTACTAGATGTCGTTTTGTCCATAGCTTGTGTTATTTATATCACGTTGTAAAGATTTGTTTCAAATAGTACATAAGGTTTCTTTACATAATATACGATGCTTATTGACTCCTACTGCTAATTGATAGCTGAGTTTCATTTCATGAACCCTATCTCCTAGCGGCTATTTTTTGGGATCTGTACAATAATATAAAATTTAAAATTTTGTACAGCCGACTTCAATATAAGTTATTAAGAATAACTCAAAAACTATTGGTCTGACTAAACGTAGTGGTTATATTCTCTTTGGGTCTGACCTTGATCAAATTTATATGCGACCATACGAGAAATATCAGCATTCAAACAAAAAAAGAATCATTGAAATCGGTTTACCCAATAAAAAGTTAAGAGGTAACACACATAAAAAAAACATACAGTCGAATTGAGTACCGTCTCCTTTTTGGAAGTCGGCAGAAAAAGGGTAAACCCTCTATTTTACGCTGTTATTCTGTGAAAGCGTGGTTCTACTCCGGTCGAGCCAACCCATTAGTGCTACAACCATAATATATCTGCAACGTGGGTTTACCAAGTAAAAAGTGTTGATTTACTACGTGTAGGAGGTGAACGATATTGTTTACTTTTTAGTTTTCATCAGCTGGCTTCTTTATACGTGGTAGAGCCATGCTGCATCTATATTAGTAGTATAGTTGTAGCACGAATGGGTCGGCTTGACCAGGGAAGAACCACGCTCTCACAGAATACCAGCGTAAAATAGCAGCTTAATGCTGCTGTGTTTCGTATGGTGAGTGTGGAGAACCGGAGACCCTTTTTACTGGAAAAAAGGCATTCCATCTTAGTCCTCACGGGTGATGACGCATCTCCGTTTTGATTCGCAAACGAAGATAGATGTAGATATCTATGGGCCACAGCAACCACTTACCATCAGGTGGACTGTGTGCTCATTTGTCACCCTATTCTATAAAAAAAAAGCTAACAGTCCACTGGACAGGGGCATGTAGAAAGAAGAATGGAGGAGAGGAAGGGGAGAGGCTTGGCAGACGAATCGACGTTCGGAGTATCAGATGTCTCGCACCCTTGATGCTGCTTCGCGTTGCCGGTCTGAGTATTTTGCGTATTTTTAGTCGATTTTTTTTAAAGGAGGAGATTAACAATTCGAATGTATGTTTTTCCTTTTTTGCATGTATGTGTCACGGGATATTATCTTTACCAATGATCCACGAGTTTTTCTTCCACTTTAGGGGTAGGGAGAGACTATAGACTTCCATTTGGCACGATCCTGACACACCTCTCTCGCTTCCTCCACATCCATATACCTACGCATACTAGCTCGTCGGTTAAAGGTACTCTTGATTTGGCCCATTTTCAATATATCGCCAATTTGGTCGATAAACTGTCGCCTAGGGCGGCCCTTCCCGACTCTGCCGTTCACCTCTGCAACATAAATTTGCTTTGTCACTCTTTCCTCATTCATTCTTTCTACATAACCAAACCACCGAAGCATTCCTTTCTTAATCCTGGTCACAACATCATCTTGCAAACCACTCTCTTATCACACAATTTCTCACTCTGTCATTTAGATTCATCCCTAACATACTCCTTAATGACCGCATTTCTTCAGCATTTATTCTACTCTCATGCTTCTTCTGCCACACCCAAATTTCACTACCATACATTAAAGTAGGGACTAACACAGCATTGTGAATTGCGATACGTGCCTTTTTGGACACATTCTGACTTCTCACAATAGGGTGTAGAGCCCCAGTCACTCTAGTTTCTGCATTCACTCGTCGTTCTATATCCTTATCAAGTCTACCATCCCTGCTAAATACACATCCCAAATACACAAACTCATCTACTTGCTCGACCAACTCCCCTTCTATTCTTATTTCACATATCGTTTTACTTTTTTCTCTTTCAAAAACCATAACTTTCGTCTTACTTGCGTTCACTTTCATTCCCTTTTCTTTTAATGTCCTGTTCATTAATGTAACCATCATTTGCAACTCAGCCGCTGACGACGCAAGTATGACTTCATCATCAGCGTACAAAAGGCATTTGACGGTTAACTCATCCATTCTTAACCCGCATTCTTCTACTTTCAAATTTTCCAAACAACTGTCCATAAATAGGTTGAACAGTCACGGGGAAGCTACACAGCCCTGTCTGACACCTTTATGGATACCAAACCAGTGCGAGTAGGCTCCGTTGATCCTGACACAAGCACTAGAGTCCATATACAGAGACTTCAATGCCTGTATCAACCCAGCGCTCAACCCAAATGAGTTCAGCGTTTGCCATAACACATCCCTGTCCAATCTGTCATAAGCCTTCTCCAAGTCCACGAATGCACAAAAAACTTTTGGTTTTTCTGTACATCCCATTCCCTTTCTAAATCCCGCTTGCACATCCCAAATTTTTCCACCAGTTTCTTTCATAACTCTTTCAATTAACACCTTCGCATACAGTTTTATTTTTTTCCTTTTCCTTTATATATTGGGATCCTTTTCTTCTTTCTTCCTTTTTCCTTAAGTTCCCAACATAAATTAAAAAACAAGGTGTACAGCAGGTCTGCCACTATTCCTTCTCCAGCCCTTAGCATTTCGAGAGATACTCTATCATATCCGGCTGCCTTACCTGCTTTCATACTTTTCATTGCTTTCATTATTTCATCTATACTTACGTCTCTATCTATTTCCTCCTCTTTCGGAATTTCTATTTCATTTAATTCAAACGTCTCATCACTCCTAAACATGCTTTCAAAGTATTCCTTCCATCTCCTTAAACTCAAAACTTCGTCATTCAGAATACAGCCATTCTGGTATCGTATAGCATTCATTCTAGGCTGTTTTGAATGTTCCCTCTGCAAATGGCAGTTCTTACGAGTTTCCAGAACATCTTAATGTTTGCTTGGAAGTTATCCGACATTCTTCTACCATTCATATCCGTTCTTTCTTGCTTTTGACTTTCAACTACTTCTTTTACTCTCTTATTTAGATGTCTAAAGACTGCCTTTTTCCTTTCAATATCATCATTCATACCGCTAAAATTACTAGCCTAGGTTGCTAGTATATCTATTTATTTTTATAGGAGAGGGGGCAAACGAGCATGCGGCTCACCTGAAGGTAAGTGACTACCGCCGCCCATGAACAATCGCAACACCAGGGGAAATGCAGATCCGTTGCCGGCTTTTTAAAAAGGAGTAGACTTTTTTCTTGAAGGTCCCTAAATCGTATCGGTCCGAAAAAATCGCTGATGGTAATCGATTCCACAAGGAAGTCGTGCGAGGAAGAAAACATCTTCTAAATCGCACAGTGGTGGACCGCCAATCATCCAGATGGTGTGGATGGTATCGGGAGTTCTGCCACGATGTGCGTTCGTAAAATTTGGCGGCTGGGATTAATCCGAACAATTTCTCAGAGCACACCCCGTGGTAGATGCGAAAGAAAATGCAAAGGGATGCAACATCTCTTCGCAGTGCCAATGAATCGAGCCGATCGGAAAGGACTCGGTCGTCGACGATTCAAGCCGCTCTGCGCTGGATGCGGTCAAGTGGAAGGAGCTGGAACTGGGGAGCCCCTGCCCAGAGATGGGAACATTATTCCATGTGAGACCGAACCTGCGCCTTGTAAAGTTGCAGGCGGTGTGCCGGCATGAATTGCTGTCCCGCTCTGCTGAGCAAACCAGTGCTGTCATCCGCATAACAATGAATGTTATGCAGAAGAAACAGCGTTGTTGATAGCACACAGCCTTGTGGAACACCGACTTGTAGTCGGAGCATGCACCGTCTACAACGACCTTGATGCTCCGATCTGCAAGGAAGCTGGTGATCCAATTGCACAATTTCTCGGGAAGCCCATAGGAAGGGAGCTTCAAAAGAAGCGCTTTGTGCCAAACCCGATCGAAGGCCTTCGCAATGTCCAAGCTAACGGCCAACGCCTCCCCTTGGACTCTACTGCCTCCGCCCATCTATGGGTCAGGTAGACCAGAAGATCACCAGCTGATCGACCACGACGAAAACCGTATTGGCGGTCACTAATCAGCTGGTGATCCTCAAGCTACCGCATGAGCTGGCAGTTAATAATGGATTCCATTATTTTGGAGAACAAGAAGGTGATGGCGATAGGCCTAAAGTTGGACGGGTCGGAGCGGTCGCCTTTTTTAGGGATCGGGTGGACAAAAGCTGTCTTCCATGAATTCGGGACTATGCCTTGGGAGTAGGAGTACCGGAAAAGACGCTTTAGGACCGGTGCCAACTCCGGAGCACACGTCCTCAGCACAATTGGGGGGATTCCGTCATCTAGCCATGCTTTCTTCTTTGCCTCAACTTCCATCCGTACCGCATCATCCCACCATAACGTGTTATTTTTTGTTTCATTTGTTCTCTTACTTACACCACATACTTCGGTAGCTGCTCCCACCAAAGCTTTCATGACATTATACCACATAGTCTCCAAGTCTAAATCATAACATACATAAATCAATCATACCACTTATATTTTCTCTCAATCTACATTTGAACTTCTCTTTCACACCCTGTCTCCGATGCCTCCAACATCCATTAATTTATATACATGGATAGACCATTAATTCGGCATAACACCAAGTAATGGTCCGTCCCTACGTTGGACCCACGGTAAACCCTTGTATCTACCACCGCGCTCCTCATTCTTTCATCAACATTTATGAAATCTATCATGCTTCTATCATCACCTCTTTCCCATGTATACGTGTGAATCTTCTTATGACGAAATAAAGTGTTCGTCACAAAAAGATTCTTTTCCACACATACGGTGAGGAGGCTTTCACCATTCTCATTTATACTTTCATCACCAAACGTTCCCAATATTCTTTCATAACCAAGCCTCCTCACCCCAACCCTTCCATTAAAATCTCCTAATATCACAATATTTTCATTACCCTTGCATTTCATTAGCACCATCCTTACCAGCCTCAAGACTGCTTGGGTTCGTCATACGAAATAGCAAAGGATTCAGCATTAATACTAAGAAAATCCTGTATAATACTCTCGTTCGTAGCACACTCGAGTACTGTTCTGTTGTCTGGCGTCCACACTTTGCGATTCACAATCTACGCATTGAGCGTATTCAGAAGCGGTTTCTGTGGCATTTGGCACGATTAGTTGGTAAAGCAAAGAGAGGTTTCTCATATGCGGATAGACTAAAATTTTTCAAAATGTTATCCTTAGATAAACGTAGGGAGCTAACAGACTTATTGTTTTTGTATAAAATTCTCAACAATAGAATTAGTTGCCCTCAGTTACTGAACTCATTTGATTTTAGCGCGCCTTCAAGATATCCGCGTCATCCGATAGCACCACTGAGACCACCAACCCGCAGAACCGTTCTCGGCTCCAACTCTCCATTACCCAGACTGTGTAAGCTGCTAAATAGCTACAAACACAGAGTTGACGTAAACTTTGATTCCGCTTATAATTTCCGTAAAAAGATTGTCGATAGTATGACTAGTACTTAATTTCGTGCAACCAGCTTGTGTTTCTCTTTTACCATACGGATAAACAATGTTTTTATTTTTCCTTTTAAAATTGTTAACTTTATTTAGTAAAATCAAAACCCACTTAAGTTATTGTTATATTGCATGCTGTATTTAATAGTAAGTAGTCACAACACTTAGCTTAAGAAACTTTTCTGTTATTTAAGATTGTATTGTGTTAGTTGACTGTTAGTAAACCATATGAATAAAATAAATAAATAAATAAACTTCCAAAACTGCTCTCGGATATAAGTGGACTTAGACATGTCTAGGGCGTATACCCCTAGAACAAACAACTTCTTTAAGCCCACTTTCATTCGTATCTATAGCAGTCTCGGTCTTACACATTCTTACTCTTTCACACAATGACCCATTCTTTCTGAAAGGATTATACCAACTCCCTGGCATGCCCGCTCGGTCTCGTCTACACCAGACCAGTAGGTGGTATACATGTCATGTGTAGTTGCATCCTTTCCTTTCCGTTTCGTCTTATTTACACATAACACGTCTTTTCCTCTATCAAACATCATATCGCATACTTCATCCATCTTATCATTCATTGCTCCACATACATTCAACGTAGCCAAACGGGCTTCCGCAATCCACTTTTCGCCCCTCCGGGGAACAGAACGTGACGGGTGGCGAACCTTGTCGCCGGTTTTTCTCCCGGAGATTCTTCGCACCCCTGCCCCATTAAAGGGGCGCCGGGAACTCGGGGCCATTTCATAAATATTTTGCCTCATGGTGCGAAACTAGGGGGTAGTATTTTTACGCCGCTACCACACGGCGAGGAGCCGAGTCTGTTCTTTCGACTTTGTCGCTTGTTTAGCACCACCCAGGGGACACGTGTAGGGTGGGCCTAGGATTAGGTGGTCGAAGCCGAAGTCGAATCAATCGCCATAAGATCTTTCTAGCATATTTCATAGTCTTCTCTATGTATGTAATAACTTTAACTTTTACTACCTCTACAATTACCAACCTCACCTACATAGATGAGGTTGTAATTGAAGAGGTATTGTTAGAGCTTATCTTCTTTCTTAGTTTTATGGCCCCTCTTTTTAGAATTCTGCCAATGTCAAGTCAGTCCTGGGAGTGACAAGAGAGTGTTTACAATAGTTACAAGTTATTATTGTTTGTGTAGGTCTTCACAATCTACAACAAAAGACACCACAAGTTTATAACCATCACCATGTAAGTAATCTTACAACTTAATTTTATTAGTTCTAATATAATCACACAAAATATTTACAAAGGGAGTAAACAAGGGAGCAAAAGGGACAGTAAGTATGAGAAATTAGTAGGACGAGGGATGTAGTTAGGGAGTATATCATAAAAGGAGAAGGAGACCTTGGGGCACTCAAAAAACAGGTGGTTAACTGTTCCTTCGCCTAACCCACATTCACAGATTGACGTATCCCTAATCCTTAATTTAGCTAGGTGTACAGGTGTGCAGGTGTGACCGAATCGGAGACGGCAAACAGTTGAGGTAATCACTTTACTAAAGTGACGGGTTTTAAAGAACCAAGGTTTTAGGGGGATATTATTTTGGACATTAGCATAATTTTTACATTTTATAAGTTTTGACTGATGCCAAATGGTTTGCCATGAGGAGTGTAAATTTAAGTTAGCCTTCGACAGGAGGTCATATGAGTAAATATTGTGTTTGGGTAGTAATCCAGATTTAGCTGCTTCCTTAGCTATCCGATCAGCAACCTCGTTGCCCTGAATCCCACAGTGAGCAGGTATCCACGCCAAGACAATCCTTAGTCCCTTTTTATGACATTTGAATAGAGACTCTCTGATATTTAAAATTAATGGGTATTTTACTTTTAATTGAAATGGGCTGGAAACAATACTTTGTAAGCAGCTAAGGGAATCTGATAATATGAGAGTTTTTTTCAGGCTGTGAGATTCAGCATACAAAACTGCCTCTAATATAGCCAATGACTCACCTGTGAATACAGAAGAGTCAGAAGGGGAATTAAAATTTAAAATAATTTTATATTTAGGTATCCACACTGCGGATCCTACTAAACCTTTTTCGCTGACCTTTGAGGCATCTGTGAACATAATCACCCAGTCAACCCACTTTTCAGCTAGAATCATGTTTAATTTAATATTTGGTTCAGTGCTGTCCTTATAAATGCCAATATTTAAAAATATGTCTGGCTTATATATTAGGGCCTCATAGGGAATATTGTAGAGAAGGTTCCTAAGTGACTTGGAGATTGGAGAAGGAAGATTGACAAGTTTGGAATAGCTTTTTATAATGCATGGCAAATCCTTATGTGACCAATATTGGGATCGCTTGACTAACTGGTTAAGGGAATGTAGTTTGGATAGGAGAGGATGGTGCGAATAACAGGCAGCTTTAAATAAAAATCTGTCTGATAAATACTGTCTTCGGAGAAAAAGAGGAGGCTCGACACATTCCACTTGGAGAGCGAGGATAGGAGTAGATTTCATTACTCCTGTTATGATTCTGAGACATTTTGACTGGATTTTGTCCAGTATGTTAAGTGCCATTTTACTACATGGCTCCAGTAAAAAACAACCATAGTCGAAATGGCTTCTTATTATTGCATTATATAAAAGCTTTTGGGAATAAGGATGGGAGCCCCACCAGGAGCCTGATAGAGATCGGATGACATTTAAATTTTTTTCACATTTAGCAGCTACATAGGATAAATGTGGGATACATGTCATTTTACTGTCTAGAAATACTCCTAAAAATTTCACTTGAGTCTGAGAAGGTATAAGAGAGTCATCAATATGGATAGGCACATCTGGGGAAAACCTTCGTCTAGTAAATACTACTGAGTTACTCTTACTAGCTGAAATGGACAAACCATGTTCTATAAGCCAAAAGTTGAGGAATTTAACTGCTTGGGATAGACGGGAGATTGCTTGGTCAAAGGAAATGTCGGATGCATATAAGACTAAGTCATCAGCATACTGTAGGACATTAGCTAAGTAGTTTACAGATCTATCAAGTTCATATGTATAAAGGCTGTATAACAAGGGGCTCAGAACTGAGCCTTGAGGTAATCCCTTCCAGACAGGTCTAGGTGATGTGAGCTTGCCTTCAGAGCGAACTAATATGCGCCTCTGCGAAAGCAGGTTTGACACGAAATTTGTGATTCTCTCCGGGATGTTCAGCTGTTGCATTTTCTGCCTGAGCAGCGGAAGAATAACATCATCGTAGGCCGAACGAACATCCACAAAGACGCCTACAAGATACTCATTGTTGGAAAAAGCAAGTCTTATGTCTGATACTAAGATACTAAGGCTATCCATTGTGCTAAAACCTTTTCTAAAACCAAATTGAGTCCTTGACAGAATGCCCCTATTTTCTAATATCCACTCCAGTCGATTCTTTACGAGATGTTCCATGACTTTAGATAAGGTTGATGACTTTAGATGAGATAGCAATAGGGCGGTAATTTAATGCTGAAGAGGAGTCTTTTCCAGGCTTTAAAATGGGTATAATAATATGGGTTTTCCAGTCATCTGCGATAGGACCTGTCGTAAAAACCTGATTAATGATGTTAAGAAAGATCTGTTGACATGAAGAGCCCATATTAACCATAAATGAATAGGGAATACCGTCAATGCCAGGTGAGGAGTCCTTGAGGTGGCTGAGCACTAACTTTAATTCTTCTAAAGAGAATGGTTCATTAAGGTTATTTGGGATGCTGGGAGAGTGGGAGGGGAAACGTTTTGCAGTTGGAAATATCTCTTCGTCCATAGGAACCCATGGAGGAGCCAGTCTGCAACAGAAGTCGTTTAGCCATTCTGAAGGATCTGCACAGGAGGAATTATTGATATTTAAAGCTCCGCGAAAACGTCTGATATTTTTCCAAACTAAGGAAGAAGGAGATCGAGGGGATAGACTCTCACAAAATGAAAGCCATCCCTTTTTTTTCTTTTCCGAAAGAAGTTTTTTGGATTCAGCGGCAATTTTTTGGTAAATTAAGAAATTTTCCATTGACATATTTGAGGAATATAACCTTTCCGCTGCCTTGCGTTTTCTGATGATCGAGGAGCATTCAGAATCCCACCATGGAGGTGAAGATAGTTTCTTAGGGGATGTGTTTTTCAATGGAAAAATTTTGCAGGCTGAAGTATTTAATATTGCTATGAACTGATTATATACAGAATGTAGGTTTTGGGATGTAACAGTAAGAAAGCTCTGAATACTATATTCTGATTCTGTGGCAAATCCTTCCCAGTTGGCATCCGACAAATTGAATTTTAAAAGAGGAGCTGTATTTCTGGGAGGAGTACATCTATTGGACAGGTTTAACAGGATGGGATAATGGTCACTTCCAAAACAAGAAGGTAGTGTTTGAAATGACATACTGGCAGCCAGGGATGGAGAGCATAATGATAGATCAACTACAGATCTAGGATTATGGGAGGGATAACACATTCTGGTAGGAGAACCATCATTTAGAAGACAAAGATTGAATTCATTAAAAACATCAAGCAGTAAGTATGAAAAAGAGTCCGATTTATGGGAGCCCCACATTACGTGATGGCTATTAAAGTCGCCAAGAATAATGTAGGGAGGGGAAATGCTAGATAGGATCAAGTTTATTTCAGGGATACATAAGGGAGTGGGGGATGGTACATAAATTGAGACAATGGTTATATCCATAGCTTTAATGGCTACGGCATTAATGTTATCTTGTACTTGAGGAAGAAGGACAGGACTGGAAGGAATGGTCCTGTTTAGTAGTATCATAGTGCCACCATAACCATCATTCCGATCACTACGATAACAAGAGAAGCCTGGGATCAAGAACGTAGAGCCTGGCTTGAGCCAGGTTTCCGCAATTGCAAGGATTGAAGGATTGTAAGTGTTGATTAAGTAAATTAAGTCAGATTTCTTGTTCCTGATGCTCCGACAATTCCATTGAAGGAGGTTTAGGGATGGGAATTTTGTACAATTTTGAGAAACGGGTGTCAAGTTTATTTTTCACGTTAAACGGTAGACATACATCATCAAATTTGCCGACAATATCCGAAAATCCCTTTCGGATATTGTCGCAACAAGGTTTTCTAAAAGGTTGTCATTAGGAGTAACATTGGACTGCAAAGCATGTCCATTGGGCAAGGAAGAGGTAGGAGTTCTTGTTATGTTGGAATGAGAAATTCTATCATAACCAACTGTAGATCTCACTGGAATGGTTTTGGCTTTTAGAATGGTTTTCCTGTAGGATTGGGGAGAAGGGCGAGAGGAGGGAGTGGTAGGAGCCTGGGTAGAGGAATTATTACTCATGGAGACTTGAGAAGAAGCAACGTCCGCATATGGTCTTCTGACGGCTGGAAAGCGAGCAGAAGCCTCCAGATACGAGACATTCTCTTGTGACATTACTAACTTAATTGCTTTCTGGCGAGAATGTTCGGGGCAGCTTTTATCAGTTGCCATATGTTTGGCAGAGCAGTAAAGACAGGTTGGTGTGTCTGTAAGGCAGTTTTCCCCAGTGTGTTCCTTTGTGCATTTATAACAACAAGGTTTTGATCGGCATTGAGCCTTTACATGTCCAAAACGACAGCATTTCATACATTGAATGGTGGGAAGGAGGTAGGTTTCGACCGGGATTGATGAATAAAAACAGTATAAATGTGAAGGAAGCACTTGACCGGAGAAGGTGAGGACAATAGTTTGGGTTGGAACCCACTCCACTTCATCACCCTTTTTAACTTTTCTGTGGAGCCTTCTGGCTTTAATAATTTCCCCTCTCCCAGAGGAGAGCTCTGACTCTGCAACTAATTCCTCCATTGAAATGTCAGTTGGGATTCCCCTAACCACACCCATACGAGTTACGTTGAAGGTGGGAATAGTTGCAGCAAGTTTATGTTGTATCAGGAATTGAGAATCAATGAAATTGTTAGCATCAGAGGCAGTCTTGAATGCAATTGATACTCTGTTGTGGCCTTCATTTTTGATACCCTGCGTTTCTATATTTGCTACTTTGTTTTGTGAAAATATATGACCTATTTTTACGGGTCTAATGGTATAACCAGCCGCTGGGTCAGGTTCTGCGCGGGTTAAGTGGATAACGAAAGGTCCTTTATCGCTATCTACGTATTTTTTTTTCCTGGAAATCAGGGTGAACATACACATTTTGTCGTAAGGAAGATGGGTTGACGTCTTGCTCAGTTTTTTTCCTGGGAATGTTATTAATTAATGAGTCCGCGGGTTTTCGTTTGGCAGCGCCAGAATTCCCAGATTTATCCGGGGGTTCTGGTTCCCCTCCATCTACATCCATCATTACCACACTAGGACAATACGAACAAAACAATCACAGACAACACAAAAAAAAATTGTAAAGCCTTGCACAAAATTGCCAAAAAGTAATCAATAATCTAGATAACGAAAAAGCACGTGTGACAACCAATCACTCTGATAGCAGACCCTAGTTAGAGCTTAAGAAAAGTAGTAAGATTTAGTATTTCAATAAAAAGCTACGTATGTATATACTTATGCGTGGTATCTACGTGGTAGAGCCATGCTGCAGCTACTTTATGGTTGTAGCACGAATCGGTCGCCTCGACCAGGGTAAGACTACGCTCTCGCAGCGTAAAATAGCAGCTTAATGCTGCTATGTTTTGTATGGTAAATGTGGAGAACCAGAGACCCTTTTTACTGGAAACGAGACATTCCATCTTAGGCCTCAGGGGTGACAACGCATCTGCATTTTGATTCTTAATCGAGGATAAATGTAAATGTCTATGAACTGCAATATCCACTTACTTTCAGGTAAACTGTGTGCTCATTTGTCACCCTTATTCTATAAACAATATGCTTAAATACAATATGTGCTCTAATTCAAAGCCCTGAAAACTTTCAGCTCGAGTTACAAAATCATGCCATGACAAAATGACAAGCTCGTGGAAGTGTGAGTAATGATTCAAGAGCAAGTCTTATCCGACACTATTCCGATGATATCCCGGACGTAAGTCTGAACGAGATTAGAATGGCGCTCCAGCACCTTAAAAACGGCAAGGCCCTAGGCAATGGAGGACTCACTGCGGAGCTTCTGAAATCGGATGGAAAACCAGTACTTGAAGTCCTTCAGAAGCTCTTTATCTAGGTCCTCCATGGTGACACTACTCCAGATTGAGCAGAATTAGAGCGGTGATCTTGTTCTTCAAGAAAGGTGACAACGCTCTCTTGAAGAACTACAAACCTATTTCCCTTCTGAGCCGCGTCTACGTGCTGTTTTCGAGAGTCATTACGAATCGTCTCGCGCGCAGATTTGACGACTTCCAGGCTCCCGAACAAGCCGGTTTCCGAAAAGGCGACCACCATAGATACACCACGGCACCATGGTCGTGGCACGACCATAGACCACGGCACCATAGACCACATACATACCCTTCGGCAAATCGTACAGAAGAGAGAAGAGTACAATCTACCACTTTGCCTTGCGTATGTAGACTATGAGAAAGCCTTTGATTTCGTAGAAATTTGAGCGGTGCCAAAGTCTCTTCAGCGGTGCCAAGTTGACTGTCGGTATATCGAAGTGAAGTGTTAGTACAGTAGAGCGACGGTGCCTATCTGAGTACAGTACCAGAGTACGAAATCTATCCAACTGCAGACAGGTGTAAGACAGGGTGACGTTACATACCCGAAACTCTTCATCGCTGCATTGGAAGATGTTTTCGAACTACTGGACTAAAACGGATTAACACCAATGGCGAGTACATCACTCATCTTCGATTTGCCGACGATATAGTCCTTATGGCAGAATCGCTGGAGGACCTAAGCACTATTCTAAGATCATGTTGTGTAACGCCCATGTCACACCTATGCCGGTAGTTCTTGGGAGAACTAAGCTCGAAGTTGTTGACGAGTACGATTACCTGGGACAAATAGTTCGACTAGGTAGGTAGTAGTAATAGTCCAACTTCGACCGAGAGGTCAATCGACCTTTTCAACTCGGCTGGATAGCGGTCGGGAGATAACGACACATCTTCTGGTCAGGTACAACTACCTCAAAACTTGATAACAAGTTGTACAACCAGTGCGTGTCGCCAGTGATCACTTATGAATCTGAGACGTGGTCCTTCACTGCTGGTCGTATGAGGAAGCTCAAGGTCGCTCATCGAGTTATGGCTCTCCATAAATCCGAGAAATCTCCATACATCTCTGCGTGATAAACTTAGAAATGAGGATATTCATAATAGAACCAGAATAACCTTTTTTTTACATGGCCTCGCGGGGGCAATGACAGGTTATGTCGGACTCACACCGATTAAAACCCCATGGTGTTCCGCCTTCGTCGCATATTGGAAAGGTCACGGGAACGCTTTCGCACACATCCGCGGCCCCATCAGCGCTGGCCACCCCGTGGCGGCCCTCTTCGGGAGAGGACTGCTCC